TAAAGCCTACAAACTCTTGGATGGTGTGTTCCCCGTTCTCTTTCTCCTCTTTGTGCTCTAGGCTCACTGGTTTTTCTAGGTCGTCCCCCCCCCCCGCCACAGGGGCTTTGTGTATGCCGTTGCTTTTGGCTGTGCCAGGCTTTCCTCCTCCTATTTTGAATAGTTAACTCTTAGCTGTTCTCAGTTCAAGTGTTACTTTCTTAGGGATGTTTCCCTGACTTCACCAAAAGGTCAAATCCCCCCATTATCGGCTTTCAGAGCACTATATATTTCTATCTTTGACATTTTATGTATGAGTTGTAATTTAACATGTAACTCATTATAATTATTTGGTTAATGTCTGTCTTTTCTACCGTACTTTTAGGTTCATGAAGGCAGGAACCTTGTCCATTTTGCCTCATGATTGTACGTGGGCCCTTAGTTCAGTACTTGGTGTATAGTAGTCATTCAGTAAATATTTTGTTATAATTGAATGAACTTGGTCTCCACGGATGTGTATCGCTCTGCTCTGTTCCTCTATTTCCTTTGCAGGTCAGAGTCGATGTCCATTTCTGTGGAGTTAATTTTGCTGATATTTTGGCCTGCTGTGGTCAGTATCAGGAAAAGCCCCATCTTCCCTTCACACCTGGTGAGTCTGAGGGGCCCAAGTGACTGTTTCAGGAAAAGAAGATAGCGAGTTTTCAGAACCGTGTGCTTCATCTCAGGCAGTACCCTGGCGATGCTTGCCTGCTGTCAGTGAGGTCTCAGATATGTCAGCCTCACTGCTACTTAGAAGCACTAGATTGTGAGCCCTGGAAGTTTCTATGACTGTCTTGCCCCCAATTATACCCCTATCTTAGCGTTGTACCTGGCTCATAGGAGATGCTCAATGAATACTTTAAAAATGAAGAAATAAACAAATGAATTTTCATCTATCATTAGGTTCACCAGAATTCTGATCAGAATCATCATTGGCCCTAGTCATTCACTTTCATTCCTTGACAGTGCCTCGAGTTTGTTTTTTCACTGGAGGATTATAAACATCTGTTTGCAGCTAAAACTCTCAGTCCTCACAATCACATTCCCAAAAAAATCTAATATGAAAGGATCAGAAAGAAGAAAAAGAGTTTATACATTTCTTAGCAGCCCACTGTCTGATTTTCATTATGCCCAATCTGATTACATTTAGATCCTAAATATGTGGACAAAGGACTGATTTTTGTTGTTGAAATTTATTTAAAGAGATATAAGTACAGCTTAGCATGTATACAGTACATGTATATTTCATACAGATATATGCCGTTAAGGATACAGTGATTGCAAAATAGTTGCTGTGTTTTGGCCTTGGGCTGTTTGGTTGTGTCTCAACAGTTGGAATCATTTCCCTCTGTTTGTGTTTGCTTAAATGCTGAACTGGAGGCAAGATGTCATACGCAATTGAGTTATTCCTCTGGCAGCTCAAGTGGTAAATGCATGATCATTAAATTAGAAATTTTGGAGGTGGAAGAGGAAAGGGCAGACAACACCGGTTCATCCGATTGAGCTAAGTACTGTATGAATAAATATAGTTCACGTCCTTGAGGGCCTCATAGTCCAGAAGAGGAGTCATGGAAACAGATAAATACGATATGATGAACTTTGTAATTGGGGTGCTGTAGGAGCCCGAGTGATCAGGGTCAGAAGTACTTGTGTGCCTGAGATTCTCTGAGCTTTTCCCCATTCTTGAAATTTTCATTTGTGTCATGGTAAGAATGGGACTGCTATAGCTTTTCAGGTTGTGATCATGAAATCTTAAATTCACTTTCCTGTGCTTTGGGTGCAACACTCTTACCCCTCTTCCCTGGATGGGGGACCACTTAAACCCTCTCAGCGCCAGAAAGCTGGTAGGATGGCCTGTTGATCAGGGCTTTCTCGTCTCCATGGTGCTGGGCTTTACAGATAACCTAATCTTGACACAATTTGTTTTAGGATTCGAGTTTTCTGGGACAGTGTTGGAGACAGGCAGAGATGTCAGCACAGTGAAAGAGGTAAATTAGTTGAAAAATTAGTTGAAATCTAGGGAATCGATGTGTGCGTAGCTGTGAGAAATGTGCTAACCTCATTTTTAGCCTAAGGATCTTGCTTCTCCTGGCCTTTGTCAGCAGATAGCAAAGGGAAACCGAGATGGAGGGGAAGAAACTTATTCTGAATTGGGAGAAGGAAGCCAGTGGAAATTTGGCTTCATTAAACTTTTTATTACTAATAAAAGGCAGCACCTTGGTCTTTAGTTACTAGGATAGAAAATTCTCAAGTTTCAGCCTCTTATGAAAGAAATTAACATTGGCATTCCAATTCATCTCAACCTTTTCTTTACTCTATCCTATCATTCGTTGTCCACAATGTGCTCAGATTGGCTTGGCAACCTAATGGGGGAGTTGAGAAAAGGCTGAATTATTTACTAAACATTAACTCTGAATAGATAATTAAGGCAAACCTGTGTCTTATGGGGTCAGAAAGAAAGATTTTCTTCATTTTTTTGATTAATTTGGGAAGAGGTAAATGGCAAGGCCATGCGTTTGAACATACCCTTAATGGTATTTTCCCTTCAGGGAGATCGAGTTATTGGCGTTAGTACCTTTAACGGGATGGCTGAAGAATGTGTCATTGACCAGAAGGTATCCCTACCTCTCAATATTAACACTTGGAGATTTTTTCTCCTTCCTTTTCTTTAATTTCCCCCTATCTCTAATTCCTCATTCTTCTCTCTCCCTTTTTCTTTGTATTCGTTTGGTCATATCTTGTTTCCCAGCCAAGCACTTCTTTCTTTCAAATGCTAAACCTCTTTTCTGTACTGGTTTGACAACCATTGCACAGAGCTTTGTGTGGAGTGGTTTAATGAAGAAGGGCATTTTGTTTTCTGAGCCATGGAGCAACTGGTTGGCTGTCCACTTGGACCATAGTTAGGTAGTTTTGGTAGAAAAACTGGTTTGGGGCATTGAGCTAGATGTAATGGGTTTCTTCTCTACATGAAGCTTCTGAGAGAGAGCCCTAGGGATGGAGTCAGCCAGGCTGGCCGCGTAAGGTTGTGCAGGGTGTGAATGGTGCCCCCTAGTGGTGAACAGTACACATTTTTTTTTTCCCCACAACTTTATTGAGATGTAATTTACATCAAATCCAATTCTCCCATTACAGTATAGTGGTCGTCTGTGTTCTATTCTCTGTAAGTTGGTTCCTTCCTGAGCCAGAGGCCAGCCTTAGGATTTTTTTTTTTTTTATGTGTGGAATATTAGCCTGGAGCTAACATCTGTTGCCAATCCTCCTCTTTTTGCTGAGGAAGACTGGCCCTGGGCTAACATCTGTGCCCATCTTCCTCTACTTTATATGGGACGCTGCCACAGCATGACTTGATAAGTGGTGTGTAGGTCCGTGCCCAGGATCCAAACCTGTGAACCCCGGGGCACCAAAGTGGAGTGTCTGAACTTAACCAGTACGGCACCAGACCAGACCCCAGCCTTAGGATTTTTGAAGACTGATGCACCCTAGTCTTGAATTCTGCCACAGCTTGCTTGGTCTTGACTTCCACTGGGCTTTGTTCCTGACATGTGTTTCCTTTTGCAAATCAATCAAATCATAATATGTACAGCAGCCTTTATGAACAGGTACATGTACTTAATTCCTGTCACTCTTATCTCTTTTTGTAGAGACTGTGGCAGATTCCAGAAAGTGTCCCTCTCCGAGAAGCTGCTACCTTGCCCATATCTTATGGCACTGCTATTTTAGCCCTGGAGCATCGGGCCTGTACTCAGCCTGGGTGAGGACTATGTAGACAACAGAGGGCTGGGTGGTCCCCTTCTCTGATGTCAGAAGTGCCCACCAAGGCCTTGCCCCTCCCTTTCCTTCCCTGACCTTTTGCTCATGTTCAGTCTGTATGAGGAAAGGCCAAAAGAAGGTAGTGACCTGAGATTGGGGTATGGTGACACTGGGGATGTCCTTTTGTCTGTGAGGGAATGGTAGACTGTGAACTTGGCCAATATGAATTTGGAGAAATCTCTCTCTCAAACCTGACCGCTCTGGAAGTCACCTCTTAGAAAACCTTAAAGTTTAGAGAGTTGGTTTATGTAAACTCGCTTCACTTTGGTTTTAAAGGAGCCCAATGGTATTTGCCTTTGTGAGGCTTGGTTGGGTGTGCCTAGCTGGGGTATTTCAGACTCAGAGGTGCTAAAGCTTCTCACTTTACCTGGAGCATATGCTTCCTGCTCTCTTCAGAGAGCCTCAGAATTGCTCTCGAGAGGTGGGTTTAGTTGAGTAGTGGCCATTACTTGATCACCACCTTCTAAAATTCGGCAGTCTTTAGTATGAGAATGATTTTAGGACAAAATTTCTGAAGCAGAAATCAGAGTGGTGGCTCAAAAGAAGGTTGCCACTGGCATAAGGAAGAGGCTACCTAGAGAGATTAAGGCATCTTTTTCCTGGGACATCTTCAAAACTAGACCAAATTAGCACTGGTCCAGCAATCACCTACCTAACCCAGCCCTAAAGGCTGGAGAGCAGGTGTCCATGAAGCGTTGAATGAAATGGCCTCTAATTTCTCTTCTTGCTTTAAAATGTCCTAGTTTCAGAATGTTCTCAAAATCGTATTGCTGGATGATTTTTGGTTTCTGGAGTGACGTTTTTCTTTCTCTGGTACAGGGAGACGGTTTTAGTGACAGCAGCAGCTGGAGCCACAGGCCTTGCCGTGATAGATGTGGCAACAAACGTGCTTCAGGCCAAGGTATTTGCTTGTTAGAGTCTCCATTTAAGAAAGTCATACCTCCAGTTTTCAAACATGGGATACATTCATTCATTTATTAAAAATCACGTGCAAGGCACTGGGGATATCGAGTAACCTAGAGTTAGGGTCTCGCCGTCGACTTGCTTGCAGGCTTGTGAGGGGACCCAGGATTAAATCACTCGTCCTTCCAGTTGCTAGAACCTGCAAGGTCTGACTCGCTTCACAGCCTCTGCAGATTCTATTCCCTCTACCTATAATGTCCCACACTTCAAATTTAAACTCAGATGTCACTTTTCCGGGGAAGTATTCTTTGTCCCTCAGGAGCTGTTAATCCCCTCCCCTCACTATTTGTATATGGTCTCGTAGCATCCTAGATTTCTCTTTCGTAGTACACACCTCAGGGTGTGGTGAATCCTTTACTTGTGTCATTATTGGATTAATTGCTGTTAATGTCTCCCTCCTGCTGGACTGTAATCCCCATGAAGGCAGGGACAGTGTCTGTTTGGTTCATTTTTGTAGTCCCAGCACCTAGCATGGTGCCTAGACCACAGTAGGGACTCCATGACTATTTCTTGAGTGAATGAATAAACAAATGAAAGAAAGACCCTTATCTCTCTGAGATAAAGATCATGAGGCACTGAAGAATTTGGACATTAACTGGAAGCTATCAGGCGCTATTGAGGATTTTAAGTAGGATGGTGGTATGATCATCTTTGCGTTCTGCAGAGTTCACTCTGGTAGCAGTGGGGATGAAGGATAGGGGCAAGGTCAGGGGTAGTCTGGAGGCGGTAGGGCAGACTCTCAGAGCACTTCATCCAGAGGTGATTGTACTTGAACAAGGCAGTGAAGTTGATGAATTGAGAGATACTAAAGTGGAAGAAAACAGAGAATTTGCTAATTGGAGAGCATCCTAATATACCTGAAGGAATAAGTACTTTGAAGTTAGCCTGAACTAGGTTCGCCTTCCAGCTCTGCCTCTAGCTTAATTGCTTCAGTTTCCTCATTGGTAAAATAATGCTTTCCTCATAGAGTTGTTGTGGGAATATTGAAAATACACGTGCAATGCTCCTATTAGAGGGAATGGCATGTCAGTAAGAATCTCTTAAAAAGGGATCCTGTTATTATTAGACATTGAGTGGGAAGGAGCGAACTAGGTTAACTGGTGGATTTGCCATTTATTGAGATTGAGAACATAGGAGGAAATGGTGAGTTCAGTTTTGAACATGTCGAGTGTGAGGTTCCTGTGCAGCGTGCAGTTGGGATATCCAGAGGCACCAAGATATCCAGGTTTGGAGATAATTGGATTGGTCTGGAATTTCTTCAGGTGGCCTCTCTCCTTTCTCAAGTTAAGTTCCTTTTGGGAAGCACATATGAGTTCTGAAAGCAATCGTAGATACCAGGAGATTCCTCATGGAATATTAACATATTTCATGTCAAAAGCAAGGGCTTTTAGCACATCTCATAGCGGGGAGACCAAAATTAGTTCCATTGTCTAGAACCATTAGCTATTTAACATTTGTAGGAAGATAAAATTGTACATTTGTTCTAACAAGTTATAGAAAGTTAACTAAAGAGAAAAATTCACTTGAATACAGATATTAAAATGAATCCAAGCTGTATTTTCCTTAGCAGCAATAACAGTTTTAAGCAAAAGCAAACAAAAAAGATGAAAATAATATCATCGTGCCACCTACTTGGAACAGGTCATTTTGATAACACCTTCCATTCACAGCATTTCCTCTTGCTTTCAAAGTGCCTCCACAGCAATTATCTCATCCTTGATCCTCTTAAAACCCCTGGGGGATGAGAAATGTAAGTGTTTATTATCCCTGTTTCACAGATAAAGAAAGTGAGGCACCAAGAGAGACAACGATTCCCGGCAGACCTAGTGAGAATCCTGGGACTCGAGTTAGGTGCCTGACCCTAGTCTGGTGTCCGCCCTCTGCGGCACTGTGTGCTGATAGCCCTCGGTGAACTGTAGCTAGTTGAGGGTTCCACTGGGGAGGATTTGAAGGTAGCTTCGGTTTCAAATAGTTTTGAGTGAGTTTGGAATCTCAAGGGCACTGTTGTTCTTGGGTGTTTGAAAGCAAGTTCTGAATGTCACCTTGGGGCCAAAGTGCTTGGGCTGGTGGGTGCTGCCCAGTGATAAGGCACTTCTAGGCAATGCTTGAGTATTTGAAGCTTTTCTGGAGATTTCCAAACCCCAGACCTCCTCACGGTATGGCCCACAACCATCTATGCCGTCTTTGCCAGGCCTTAAGCATGCTTTTCTTCTGGGGTGATGTAGTGGAAACGCATGGGCTTTGGTATTAGGCAGCACTGGGTTTGAATAGTTGTTCTACCCTCTACTGCTTGGATGGTTAGTTGCTTAACCGCTCTGGGTCTATGTCTCCATCTATAGAATGGGAGTAATTATACCTCCCCCGTAATGTTCTTTTTTTTATTTTTTATTTTTTATATTTTGTGAGGAAGATCAGCCCTGACCTAACATCCACGCTAATCCTCCTCTTTTTGCTGAGGAAGACCGGCTCTGAGCTAACATCTATTGCCAATCCTCCTCCTTTTTTTTCCCCAAAGCCCCAGTAGATAGTTGTATGTCGTAGTTGCACATCCTTCTAGTTGCTGTATGTGGGACGCGGCCTCAGCACGGCCGGCCGGAGAAGCGGTGCATCGGTGCACGCCCAGGATCTGAACCCCGGGCCGCCAGTAGCGGAGAGCACGCACTTAACCGCTAAGCCACGGGGCCGGCCCCCCCGTAATGTTCTTATGAGGTTTAAATAGAATAAATGATTGCATATGTGAAACAATAGATGCAATTTATCCAACGCTTTGTTTTCCAAGTGCTTTATGTATAGTGTTCCATTTAATTTTTAAAATAAATTGCATTTTATGGATGAGGTAACTGAAACTTAGAGAAGTTGGCAGGCAGTATAGAGGTTAAAAGCATGAACTCTGGACACAGTTTATCTGGATTTGGATCCCAGTTCTGCTTTCCATTAGCTGTGTGACCTTTGGCAAGTTACTTAACTTCTTTTGCCTCGGTTTCTTCCTTTCTAAAATGGGGATAATAATAGTGTGTATATCATTGGGCTGTTGAGATTAAATGAGTTATTAATGTATGTAAAGCATTTAGAATAGTGCCTGGCGCATAGTAAGCACTGTGTAAGTGTTAGATCTTACTAAATAATTTGCTAGAGGTAACAGAGCTAGTTAGTAGCAGCCAGGATTTGAACTCAGTTCTATACAACTTCAAGATCTTTCCATGAATCATATTTTACCCACTGGAAAGCCTTTCCTGGTCTTCCAGATCTAGGTGGGATACCTCTCATTTGCACTTCTGGAATCCCTTGTACTTCCCCATCACATTGCTGTATCTTGCTTTCTTGACGCTAAGCTTGGTATTTAGCGTACATCTTTACTACGGACTCATAGTAGGTGCTCAATAAATGGTGGCCTTAATTTGCATTTGGAGAAGACTTTCTGAGTGTCTCCTGAACCGTCTCCTAGCTAGACCCATTGGGGTTCCAGGATTCCTGGAAATGTAGGTCCCCTGGCCAGTGGGGCATGGAGGGGCCAGTGTGCTGGACAGAGTGTGTTGGGCCTGAGGTGTTGGATTGAGGTTGATGCTAGGAAATCAAGGTCACATTGGTTTCCTTGGTTAGTACCCTTTGGTTGGAGGCTCAGTGGGTGAGGTGAGCCCCTCTTGATACATATTCTGGACCATCAGAAGCTCTGTGTTCTTTATGCAGGTAATAGCTGCAGCCGGCAGTGACGAGAAGTGCAAGCTGGCAATGCAGAGGGGCGCACAGTCCAGCGTGAACTACAGTCAGGGCAGCCTGAAGGAGGCAGTGGAGAAGCTGGTGGGCAGTGGCGGGGTGAACGTGGTCGTCGACGCCGTGGGAGGAGATGTCTTCCTGGAGGCTCTCCGCAGGTGCGTGAAGTGGTCTTTCCGGAGTGGGCTGGACCTGAGGTTCTGCTGAAAACTTTCCAGACCTCTGTCTTCCTTCTGGCCTTGCTTCTCTTTCGTCTTTGCTGCTCTCTTTTCCTGTAGGCATCAGCGTCAACGAGAACAGCTGAGTGGGTGGGTGAAAAGGAATAGAAGCAGAGGGAAAATCAGGAAATGCTTAAATATATCAAAAACAAAATATCCAACTGGAAAAGATCCAAAAAATGACTGCAGACTCTCTAGTTGGCAACATCAAATGCTTTAGAAATTATACATGTGTTAAATTCAGCTACGCCGGCCCCCACTCAACTACTTTATGTACGTGGTGTGGGTAATTCTTGAGGAGATCATTGTTCAGATGTGAGAATTACTGGGGTGACGGTTCCCTAGTTCACCGTGCACTAAGGTACAGACTCTTGATCTTGCTGGTTTCTGAAGCAGCCAGCAGTGTAGGTGTCTCCTCGATTTGTTTTATTAAAAAAAAAATCATTGGAGATTTAGTAGGACTGCTGTATCTACACCAGTTCTCATTTTGTTTTCAACCAGGGACTCTGGAGTGCTCTGATTATATTGGTTTCATTTCTTGTGTCATGCTGGCAAGCACAGTTTTGTGGTTTATCTCAGTTTAAAGTAGATGAAACAGAAGCAGAGAGAGCAGCGTCCCTGCAGAAGGGGCCCGGTTGGTCCTCTAGCCCCTGCACCTCACTGCATTATGCCCGGTACTGGCTGAGAGAAGAAGTGAAGGCAGGAGTATGTTGACTAAGTGGAGAGCCGGCACAGAGAGCTGCTGATGCTCACCTTCTCTTGCCTTCTGGATAAGAGTGTTTTGACAACAGCTTCTCATTTCCCTTCTGAAGAAGAAAAGCAAAAATTAAAAACCAAACAAATGTACACGTATTTTATATCAAAGATGTTTACAAAATTTATTTTTATAACTCATTGCTTAACGTGCACTGTATGGTGCCTCTCATAATGGCCTGCAGAAAACTTGTGTGAATTTTTGTAGATTACTCAAAATTCTCTAAAGAAGCAAGTAACTTAAGGGGGTCCTAAAGTTGTCTTCGTGTAAAGCAAATGATGCTTCATTAAAGTGTCTGTCTTCTCCCCGCTTCCTAAGTTCACAATTTTCAAACTGAGTTGTCTTGAAGAACAGCATGCAGAATGACATTTGTTTACACCCAGTTCCTTCCACAAAGTAGTTGATACGGCTGTGTGCCACATAACATTTCGGTCAACGACGGACCATGTAGATAATGGTGGTCCCATAAGATTAGTGCCATACAGCCTAGGTGTATAGTAGGCTCTTCCATCGAGGTTTGTGTAAGGACACTCTAGGATGCTCGCACAACAACGATATCAGCTAATGATGCATTTCTCAGAACGTGTCCCTCTCGTTAAGTGACGCGTGACCGTAGTTACATAGGTAGCCTTGATTCCAAAGTGGGTCCCCTTATAAAACTGGCTAGTTCTTCTGGCCCCTTACTGTCTTGCTTATGGCTTATTTTTATATTTTCCTACTGAGGAATCCATAGTGGTACAGGATGGTTCACCTCTGCCAGTTTGTAAGGTCAAGAGGAATTCCCAGCTGGGGGTTTAACGCATGTTGCTTTTCTGTTTTTTAATTGTGGTAAAATATACATAATCTAATATTTATCATTTTGACCATTTGTAAGTGTATAATTCAGTGACATTAAATACGCTTACAGTGTTGTGCAACCATCCCCAACAAAAACTCTGTGCCCATTAAACAGTAACTGCCCCTTTCCCCCTCTCCCACTCCCCACCCTGGTAACCTCCATTCTACTTTCTGTCTCTATGAATTAATGTACATTGCTTTTTATTTCATTCTACGTTTTTTTGTGTGTGTGTGAGGACGATCAGCCCTGAGCTAACATCCATGCTAATCATCCTCCTGTTTTTTTTTTGCTGAGGAAGACCAGCTCTGAGCTAACATCTATTGCCAATCCCCCTCCTTTATTTTTTCCCCCAAAGCCCCAGTAGATAGTTGTATGTCATAGTTGCACGTCCTTCTAGTTGCTGTATGTGGAACACGGCCTCAGCATGGCCAGAGAAGCGGTGCGTCGGTGCGCGCCCGGGATCCAAACCCGGGCTGCCAGTAGCGGAGCGCACGCACTTAACTGCTAAGCTGTGGGGCCGGCCCCTCGTTCTACATTTTTTATTGTGGTAAAAAAATGCATAACATAGAATTTGCTATATTAACCATTTTTAATTGTATAGTTCAGTAGTGTTAAGTATTTACATTGTTGTGAAACAGATCTCTATAACTTTTTCATCTTGCAAATCTGAACTATACCCATTAAACAACTCCTCTGTTCCCCTTTTCCCCAGCCCCTTGAACAATCATTCTACTTTCTGCTTCTGTGAATCTGACTACTCTAGGTACCTAATATAAGTAAAATCGTATGGTATTTGTCTTTTTGTAACTGGCTTATTTCACTTAGCATAATGTCCTCAAGGTTCATCCATGTTGTAGCATGTGACAGGATTTCTTTCCTTTTTAAGGCTGAAGAATGTTCTACTATATAAATGTATATATAACACATTTTGTTTATCCATCCAACTGTTGATAGACATTTGGGTTGCTTCCACCTCTTGGCTATTGTAGATAGTGCTGCTGTGAACATGGGTGTGCAAATATCTCTTCAAGGCCCTGCTTTCAATTCTTTTGGATGTAGACCCAGAAGTGGGATTCCTGGATCATATGGTAGTTCTATTTTAATTCTTTGAGGAACCTCCATACTGTTTTCCATAGCAGTTGCACTATTTTACAATCCCACCAACAGTACATGAAGATTCCAACTTCTCTACATCCTTGCCAACACTTGTTATCTTCTGTATTTTTTTTAAGGAAAAAAAATTTTTGTGTAGTAACCATTCTTTTTTTTTGTTTGTTTGGTGAGGGAGATCAGCCCTGAGCTAACATCCAATGCCAATCCTCCTCTTTTTGCTGAGGAAGATAGGCCCTGGGCTAACATCTGTGCCCATCTTCCTCCACTTTATATGGGACGCCGCCACAGCATGGCTTGACAAGTGGTGCATCAGTGCACGCCCAGGATCTGAACCCTTGAACCCCGGGCCGCCACAGCGGAGCGTGCGCACTTAACCGCTATGCCACCAGGCCAGCCCCTATAGTAGCTATTCTAATGGGTGTGAATGTACATTGCTTTTTATAATTTCTTTTCCTTCTCCTTTTTCCCCTTAGCTTGGCATGGGAGGGCAGGATTGTAGTGGTGGGTTTTGCTGGAGGCACCATTGCTTCTGTGCCTGCCAACCTTCTGCTCCTGAAGAATGTGTCTGCCATGGGGGTGTACTGGGGCCGATACCGAGACCAGAACTTTCCCCTCTTCTCCGGGATCCTTTCCTCGGCTGTTCAGTACTGCCAGCAACGGCGCATCCAGCCACACATTGGAGCAGTTTTCAAGCTGGAGGAGGTGAGATGCTCTTAAGGGGTGAGATGCTCTTAAGGGATGTGATGCAGATAAAATGAGGAAATAATCTGTGTCTAACAACGGGATAGTTTCTCTCTGGATACTGTAAATCCTATTATGGAATGAAAAGGTGAAAATGCAGCATGGTTAATGAGGTCTCCCGGGCGGTGGGGTCACGGGATTTCTTCCTGTCTTCTAGGTTGTATGGCTGTAGATCAGGCCTAGTGAGCCACCTGGGAACCTGAATCTGCAAAGGCCGTGAAGGAGCTGGGTTTTTAGGGCTCTATCTACTTAACTAGTGTCTCAAACAGAGGGAAGTGAGGGTGCTTTCGAAAATAATTTACCTGTGTTGATATGACCTCTGAACTCTACAACATATGAGTCTAAGAAGGAAGCACTTAGCTTGACCTTTGATTTTAGAATCCAGACGCTTTAAAGTACAACCAGATGATCTAAGCTGGGGTTCTGTGAACAAAACAGTAAATCATGCCCAGCATCATAAGACTGTAATTCATCCATTAGTCACTGCTGTTAATTTTGTTGGCTATTCACTCCCTTTTTTCATTCCCCCACAGTCCCATTAATGTGGCTTATACTTCCTCCGAAGTGTAATTGTGTGCATGCATATGCAATATAGTTGTAAATGTGAATGTGTTAGGCTTTCACTGTACGTTTTTTTTTTGCTTAATTTATTTTATTGTTCAGAAAACTGTTTTGGTAACTCTAGTCAGCCAGTGATGGAGGTGATGTTTTGTTCATATGCAGATAGGGGGCTGCAAGCTGTCAGTGCCAGACTTCATTGCTCACCAGCCTTCCATCTTATGTTCTTTCCTATGACGAGGCACATTCTTTTCAAACACAGTTTACTTTCTTCCTCATCTTTTTGGTATGTCAGTCAAGAAGGTAGCATTCAGTGGTAAAAAGAGAACCTGACTGGCCATCAGAAAACTGGTTGGATTCTATTTCCAGCTTTGGCCCTTCTAGGTGCAACTTTGTGGAAGTTCCCGCACCTTTCTGACCTTCAGTTTCCACATCTCTAAAATTGAGGTGTAGGACAATATCAGTGGCTTCCAGACTGTGCTTCAGGAGCCACAGTTGGGATGTGGGGGTGGGCAGTAGACTTGAGCTGCCCAGGGTCTGGGACCCCATCTCTGCTGAGGCCTGAGTAGCTGCACGTTTTTACTTTTTTGTTCATACTTTTCTTTTAAGAAAAGGTTTTGTGGCTTAAACACTTGAAAACCACCAGTTTGGAGAATTTCCAGGTCCCCTTCCATCTTGTGGCTTTTATCCTGTAGCTTGTAAACTGAGGTTTGCTTTACCTGAGGCTCTCGTATACCTGTTGATAGAGGGTAAGGACAATCAGGCAGTAGAGGGGTGGAAACACGTGTTAGTGTGAACTGTGTTTTCACTCCACTGACGTGTTCTAGGTGCTGCTGGGGCATGCAAGCAAGCCAGAAGTGGGTTATTGTTTTAATTACCCACATTGAGGTTCTCTCTCCTCTTAAACATGAATTAACTATCTACTCACTGACCTCCTGTCAGCTTCCATTTGCCCTTCTCTTTTCCAATGAGGGCTCTGCTCGTAGGATTTTTCTAGTTCTTCCCCCTCTGCTGACCTTTCTGTTATCAAGCAGCTCTCTGAAGCCGTGCTCCCTAACAATTTCAAGCATCTCATTCGCACCCCATCCATTTACGATTTCTTCTCTTTCTGTTTCTTTCAATATGCACGCTATTTAGAGGAATAATAGTAATAATAATGGCAGCTCCCATACATTAGGTGCTTACTCTGGGTCAAGAACTATTTTAAGCACTTTACATGCATTTTCTCATTTAATCTTCACAACAACCCTTTGAGGTATGAATCATTTTTATCACATTTTACAGACGAGTAAATCAAGACTCGTAGAGGCTAAGAAAGCTGCCCAATGATATGTAGTAAGTGACAGACCTGGAAGCCAGTCCAGGTTGGTCTGATGCCAGAATCTGGGCTCCTTATGGCCATGCCAAGCTCTTTCCTCAAAAAAAGCCAGAAAGTTGCTTCTTAGAAACCTTATTCTAGAGAATGAAGTTTATCCATCTACCAGAGAATTATGTATGTGAAAGAACTATCTCATAGTTAAAACGATGAGGAATCTTGAATTTTCCCTAGCAGTACAGAATTTATATATTTTGTTCTTTTAAAATTAAGATGATTAAATGAATATATCATTAATTTCACTTAACTTTAAAGCCTGGGTAATATTTTTTCATGTAAACCGATGCTTCCCAGCTTATATTTTCTCCTGCATATGTGGACTTATAGATTTGACCTTGATAGTTAACATTACTATGACCACGTACTTTGTACCATAGCCTTTGCAGTAGGCACAGGGTATGAATTTTCATAGCACTCTGTGCTTCTCCTTCATCTGCTTGTAATTACTTGTTCCATGCCCATCATTCGCCTAGACCACAAACTCCATGTGAGCAGGGACCATGTGCTGTCTGCACCTCCGTGTCTCCAGATTCTGGCAGGTACTCACATATCTGTTGAATGACTGATTGAGAGTTTGGGGCTCTAGGGTCAGACCACCAGGGTTCAGATCCTGGCCCTACCACTTAACTGGCTGTGGGCAAATGGCATACATTTTTGTGCCTTAGTTTCCCCATCTGTAATGGGGGCAGTAATATACTCTACCTGTTAGGGTGGTTATGAGGATTAAGTAAGATAATACATGCAAAAGCACTTAGTAAACACTTAGTATATTTTTTAAAGCAAAATATATAGCCATTATAAAAGCCAGAGTTGAGCTTTTTCAGTTTGCCTGAACTGTGATACTTTTGCATTGACATTTCAGAGGGCAGGATTAGAGACACAGTCTTTAGATTTTGAATTTTAACTGGAATTTGTTCTCTGAAGGGTTATATCTGTGCCATGACGGGTGGATCATGAATGAGCCCTGTGATCTGTTCAGAAGGTGGCATCACTTAGATGTGCAGTGTCTGTTTTCTGTAGGGAACTGCCCACATGCATCTCGACCTGACCCAGTACTTAAACCTCACAGATCTGAACTTGGTTAGTACATAAAGGTTGGGTGAGATCACCACATGAACAGATTTAATGGATAGAAATTGTTTACTCAAAATTTCCTGAATGTATCTGTGGAATATTCTTAAAAATTAAATTACTCTTTTAGTTTAGATGGCATATTAATTTTAGCCCATTGTTCCAGACCCGGTTTATGGGCCACCCCATATCTGCCAGCCCCACCTGCCCCAGGCCTTGGGCACTTGTCACACTTCTCCAGTGAAGGCTAACGTCACCCACCCCCACAGCCATACAGCCCAAACCCTGTCCCTAGGCCCATCTCCTAACACTGTTGATTGTCTCCTGCTTTCCCCGGGGTGAGAGATGATATTAGGCAAGGCCTCCATTTCGCTCATCAAGGTGGGAGCTGCTGCACCTCCGGTGCACAGTCTGATTCCAAGGCCCTGTTGAAGCTCTGGCTTCCCCAGAAACTGTTTGCAGGGATCTCGGTAAAGCAACCCAGAGTGTGGGGGAGTTCACTCCTTGGGGCAAGCACTGACAAATGGAAGATAGGAGATAAATTGCTGCCGTTCCCCCTCCTGATGGATTGATTTGACATGCAGTGGGTTCCATATGGTCTCTCTGGAGAAGTCTGGTGTGAAGAACAATTAGCTACATGTTCCCCTGAATATGACCGGTTCAGGATCAGTAACACAGCCTTGTAGCTCCTCCCCTCCTTCCTCGATTCACTTCACGTTCCCCCTGCCCTTGCCTCCCTGGGGTTGCAGTGAAGCATTAGGGCATACGTGTTGGTTACTCTCTCTTTTTTTTAAGGAACCCAGGCTGACCCTTAATTTTGAAAATTTAATTATTTTTGTGTTTAGTAATACAAGGCTTGACTTTTTTTTTAAAAGTCAGGTTTATTGAGGTATAATTTATATATAGTAAACTTTGCTCTGAGTTTTGGCAAACATGTATAGTCATGTAACCACCCCACTACAATCCAGATGCAGAACATTTCCATCACTCCAGAAGTTTCCTTTGTGCCCCTTTGTAATCAATCCCCTTCTCTTACCCCACAGCCCCTGGCAACCACTGATCTGTTTTCTCTCCCTATAATTTTGCCTTTTCCGGAATGTCATATAAATGGAATCATACAGGATATAGCCTTTTGAGTCTGGCTTCTTTAACTTTGTGTAATGCTTCTGAGGTTCATCCATGTTTTTACATATGTCAGTAACTTGTTCTTTTTTATTGCTGAATAGTATTTCATTGTATGGATGTACCTCAAATTGTTTTTTGATTCACCAATTAATAGATGTTTGATTATTTTCAGTTTTTGGTGATTATGAATGAATCTTTTATAAACGTTTGTGTACGACTTTTGTATCGACAGATGTTTTTCTTAGTTTAGGACTTGGATTTCTGGGTCATGTGCTAAGTGTATGTTTAACTTTTTTTTTTTTTTTGTGAGGAAGATCAGCCCTGAGCTAACATCCATGCTCATCCTCCTCTTTTTGCTGAGGAAGACCGGCTCTGAGCTAACATCTATTGCCAATCCTCCTCCTTTTTTTCCCCCAAAGCCCCAGTAGATAGTTGTATGTCATAGCTGCACATCCTTCTAGTTGCTGTATGTGGGACGCGGCCTCAGCACGGCTGGAGAAGCGGTCCGTCAGTGTGCGCCCGGGATCCGAACCCAGGCCACCAGCAGCGGAGCACGCGCACTCAACCGCTAAGCCACGGGGCCGTCCCTTCTTTTTTTGAATTTACACAGATATTTAGTTGACCTTATTTACAGAGCAGTTTTCTTTTTTACCCCCAGTATCCAATGGTGCCTAGATAACATCATTAGATAAGAATGTCAGTTGAAAAGAAATCTGTGGAGAACCTACAAATAACAGATGCTGATGTACGTCAAGAAGAGGGAGCTCGACTGTATGAGCAGCTCTCTCTGTGCCCCAGTTACTCAGAAGCAATTCTGTTGCAGTCTCTGCAG